GAAAATAATCCAGGCTCATGACATTTGCGTCGCTTGGGCTTGGGTCTTCTGTTAGTCCTATCGCTGTGTCCCGTATGCAGTCTCGTTTGGTTAACGGCGTCAGCAATGTCGTTACAGAATCAATAGCTGCGTCAGTAATGCGACTACACTGCCGCTCACCGTCAGGGGGTCGGTATCTCTCAGAACTGGGTTATTTAACCTAATTAAAGAAAAACAAAAACATGTGGCAGCTGTGATTATAAAAATCGTCGCGAGGAAATGGGCACGCGGATGAATTTCCTGTTAGGAGCGCATCAAAATTAACATTTTCCGTTCGAAAATCCTTAAAACGACTGATGAATTAAATGAATGAGTGGGCCTCGCTCGCGTCCTTGAAAAATAGGAAATTTCTGGGAGGGTTTTGGGAGAAGCACCCCCAAAACTTTTACGGCGGTACTAAAGCGTCGCATAAAGTAAATCCTGTGTAATTGAGCAAATGACATCACTTTGAGGTCCTAAATTGATGTTTCCTGGTTGCGATGCAGCTTCTCTTTTCCGGAAATGCCCAGTCAGTAGAAGAGGTTATAAGCTGTTGCTATGAGGGCACAGTGTGTGAGTGCGTCAGAACTTGCAGGAGTGCTTGCCTCATCATCATTAGGCTAGTTTGACGGATCTGTCAATCCTGGTTTGCAAGGGGCAGGTACAGAATCTTTATAAATAATGCAGAAATAAACCTGGTGCGTAACAGTGTACGTAAACCTGAGAGTGCCAGTACGCCGAATGGGTCAGCGTTGGATGACCTACCTAGCCAGATCCTGGTGAGTTCGGGTAGGGCCAAGTGCCGCAAAACGACTGTTTTGAGGACATAATCCACATACATTCTGAGTGGCATCGGAAGCAGCTTAAAAATCATAAAAGCAGCAGCTAGGATTTCACTGGCTTACAGTTTTCATTATGTTAATGACGAATATTGACAGGAGCACTCGGTCCCCTTCCTACACTATGCCTCCGCCCCATCTAGAACCAGACTGTTGTCTTCCTCATTTTGAATTAGCCATTAAAAATACGAGAAAATTTGATATCCCCTGTTAACACAAGATCATAACACGCGTAACAGTTCAAAATTCGCTTGGAACTTTTTTTACGATTAACTGCTGAGAGAATTCCAGGACAGCTAAGAAGTCGAGAAAGGGGTATGAGTCGAGGATGAAGGGCAGGTGATTTGGAGGACCGCACAAACAGCCGGAGGAATCCGACAAGCTTAGCCGAAAAACTACATCAAACAGCTCTGGATGCATCAGATTCCAGAGTTGTTTGATATACCCAGAATTGAGGCAGAAGGCGAGGGGACAGGGAAGAAACTTTTTTGCGGACTTCGTGGCGCCTTATATAAAACGTTTAGATAGTATATAAGAAATCTGTTCCTCCTCGAAAATTTTAAAAGCGAGAGGCTTTTTGAGAGCGTAGTACGTTCTCAAGGAACCACACCGTGCTACAAGGCAACCGTAAAAGAACGGTAGAAAAGATCGAGAAATAATGGGAATTGGCTAGGCTAAACTGCTAAGCCTTATTACATGCAGTGGCCAAAACAGGCTGCGCTGACGGCGTCCAATCCTAGTCCTTTTCATGTTTTCTCTAAAACACACTGAAGGCTGTCAAAATCTCAGAAATTCGCCGCCATTCTGCTAGGCACTCATTGAGGTACACTTCCGAAGCATTCACACTGTGCCTCAATGCGGCACTGGCCGAGGTCATTTTGCCGGGACATACAAAATCTACCCCAGCAGAGCACTCTTTCTCTCTCTCTCTCTCTCTCTCTCGATGTAATATATCCTGTTAGAAGATGTCTCAATGTTTGCGAGAT